AATCATGATAAATGTATTTTTCTGTCACACGTGTAAAGTAATAATGAATATGCATGAGATGATTGGTTTCAATTGGCCCTATTAGACTTTAATGGGATTTCCTGTGGCAGACCTGCCGCAGACTGTTCCTGTGGCATACTGGTATGCGGCAAGTCTGGAGCAAAGTTTCGCCCTGCCGCAGATCTGCCGCAGATCTGCCGCAGACTGTTCCTGTGGCATACTAGTATGCGGCAAGTCTGGAGCAAAGTTTCATCCTGCCGCAGATCTGCCGCAGACTGTTCCTGTGGCATACTAGTATGCGGCAAGTCTGCAGCAAAATTTCATCCTGCCGCAGATCTGCCGCAGACTGTTCCTGTGGCATACTAGTATGCGGCAAGTCTGGAGCAAAGTTTCATCCTGCCGCAGATCTGCCGCAGACTGTTCCTGTGGCATACTAGTATGCGGCAAGTCTGGAGCAAAGTTTCATCCTGCCGCAGATCTGCCGCAGACTGTTCCTGTGGCATACTAGTATGCGGCAAGTCTGCAGCAAAATTTCATCCTGCCGCAGATCTGCCGCAGACTGTTCCTGTGGCATACTGGTATGCGGCAAGTCTGCAGCAAAATTTCTTTCTGCCGCATACTTCGGCATACTCTTTGCCGCAGACTAAAAGTCTGCGGCAGGTCTGCGGCATACTTTTCACTTTCCTATGGGATAGGTGCCAAAATATTTCGGCCATGGATCAAAGCAACCAAGAGGTAGAAGCGTGTGGCATGTTGCACGGCGCCTCCCCAAGGGCGTAGCCAGGATTTCATTTTAGGGGGCGGTAGTGAGCACGCAAAGCTATAGGGGGTTGGGTGCACGAAAGGGGAGCTTTCCCACTCCCCGCGAAGCGCGGAAGCTTTGACGTTTCATTAACTTATTAGAGAAAGAAAACGATTCGTTGGACCGTTCTCGACCCTTAATCCTTCTTTGAATCAAGTTCCCCTTCCTCCGCGCGTAAGCTCTGATGGTTCATTAGATTATTAAAGAAAGAACGTGATTCGATGTACCATTCTCGACTCTTAATCCTTAATGTTTGAACAAGTTCCCCTTCCTCCGCGCGTAGCGTGGAAGCTCTGAAGTTTCATTAGATTATTAAAGAAAGAAGACGATTCGATGTACCATTCTCGACTCTTAATCCTTGTCTGAATTCAGTTTCCCCCCTCCCGCGCGAAACGCGGAAGCTTTGAATTAAATTATTAGAGAAAGAAGACGATTCGTTGTAACGTGTCCTTGTCTGAGTGCAATTCGCCCCCGCCCTCCCGCGCGAAGCGCGGAAGCTTTGACGTTTCAATAAATTATTACTTTTAATCCTTGTCTGTATTCATTTTCGCCCATCCAGCGCTAAGCGCGGAAGCTTTACCGTTTCACTAAATTATTAGAGAAAGAAGACGATTCGTTGTACTGTTCTCTATATTAATCCTTGTTTCCCCACACGATGTACGTATGGAACGTTCGTTTGCAAATCGTTGCATGCACAGCCCGAATGGTGGGTAGCATGTTATCTCCCGGCAGTGCTTGTCACAATAGCTCCTGGAAAGGAATTGTATACTACTGTTGATGTTAATGGCCACTAATTAGGCCCAATAGTGACTATACAAACTATATGCTCTTCCTGGCTATTTGGGAATGTGTCAGTTTGCAACAGAAATGGAGAAACGCAAATTTTTTTGAAAATCATGTGATATCACGAACATTTATAAATCACTCGTATGAAATACACCAGTTACATAGGCCTATATCAGCTTTTTAATAAAACAAAAATAAGTTGTGACATGATATTCGTTCTCCAAAAACGAAAAAAAGAAGGAAATATCAGGAAATAAAATGAGTAAAAAAAATAAAAATAAAGATACAATGACGTGAATTTTTAAAAGGGTGAACAGAAACAACGTAACAACTAGTGAACTTATCTTATAAGTCATACTAATGTACGAAAATCTTTCTCCTTGTCTCCGATCTCATCACGAATTTGTCACAGAGTTCATCTATGTTTACATTATCCAGCATTGTCTGATGTTGCAGATTGCTACTTTTGCGCTTCGCGCTTAACATTTACCTCGTTGCTTTTTAACGCTGCGTCTTTGCATTTGGCGCACTGCATTTCTATGATGCTGTTGATTGAACAAATATAATAAATTCATCAATTCCTGATGAAGCCGTATGAGCGAGAATTAAATTTATTCTTGTCTCATATACGGTTGTCTCATTTACCTTGTATATATGTTTGTATTATGAAAATGAGAATTCTATGAATATAGAATTCTTTTAAAAAAATTCTATAGAATTCTATAAAACAATGAGATAGCAAAATGTGTATATTGACGGTCATCTTGCGAGTAATAACAATTAACTACTCTCATCGGGCTCTCACCATAAAATTTTGTCTTAATTTTTTTTGAGGGTGAATTATTGGGGGGGATGATTGTACAGGCCATCCCCCCAACCTGAAATATTGGGGGGGATATATCCCCCCCATCCCCCCCGGGATCGACACCCATGATTAAAATGTTTTTTTTTCTTTAAAATTTGAATTTTTTTCGGATGTTTACCATGCATACACCCCCTAAACACCAGAAAATTGAGAAAAATGCCCCCAAATAATGGGTAGGAGTTTCAAGGCTTGAGCGGCACACCCCCCGTCCAAACGAAATCTCGAGCCCCCCTCCCCCCCCCCCCCCACATCAATGATGAAGGCTGTAGCTGAACATAAAATTTTGGTGGTAAATATTCTGTACTGAGATTAAAAGTTTAACTTTCAAAGTAAATTATACACATGTATGCACTTCCAACACCAAAGAACTCTCATAACTGTAAAGGCATAGTGTAATACAGTCAACTTGGGGCTTTAGTTTCATTGTTGAAACCTAGAGCAAAAGTTAAATTAATACGACTTTTAATTTGAAAAATTATATTGTGTCATACAAGTCGACTGAGGATCGAATTCATTGCAAAGAGGAAAAACAAAAAATCAAGAAGCAAATGACAAAGTGGCAAAATATTGACAGGTTTTTCTGCGTCTCGTAATGTGTGAAATTACTTTCGGTGAAAAGATTTCCAAGAAATATGGGTTTTCAATTTCATGTTGTGTCTTGTGATGTATTTCATTCTGTCAAAAAATGTTTTAATGACATATCATGTTATAATGAATTACACCGTCTATCTAAAGTTGAAGTAATAAATGTGTACAACAGCGTTATTGTTTATTTTGTACATAACAAATGTAACACATATTTTGTATTATGTTTACGTTGATGTTCTAAAAAATAAAACCTATAAAGGGATTGGGTAACTTTGTCTCAGATTCTGAAATAAAATCCTGGATTTAGCTCATGCTGCAATGATAATTATAAACCTTTAGGGTCAGTCAGGAACCCCATGACTTTTTCAAGTCGATCTGTCTGATTATCAAGATATTTATGATTGGAAATCGAAATTTCAAAAACCATTTTCCTTCCAGTTTTTATAACAATACAGTCTATTGGAAAAAATGAGTATGGTAAAACTGGTCACTCAAAGAGTTTTACTCTTTTGAGGCACTTCATGGTAATTTTGAAGCACAATTTTTTTAGGGCTTCAATATTATACCATATCACAGACACTGATAACATGCATCTCAGATAAACGATGCCTTTAAGATAAAAATAAAAACTAGACTTGAATTCGTCACGAAGACGAATAAGGTGGTCTGTCTAAGTCTTATGATAGATTTGAGAATGGGAGAAGTTATATAGACATGTAAACAATGATGATGATGATGATGATGATCTTGATAGTAATGGTGATGACGATGATGACGATGATAATGATAATGTTGATGATGACGATGATGATGTTGATGATTATGATCATGATCATGATGATCATGATCATGATCGTGAGCATGATCCTGACATCTGATTGAAAAAATGAGGGAGATTTAGATAGCATATAGTCTCAGCTACATTATACTCAAAAATCAATAAAAAACAAGCAAAAATAACGGCGATATTGCTCGCAAAAGACAGGAATGTAGAATCCAGATTTGAGAAAAAGTCATGTCCAATAGAGAATACACGCAAAATGTGAAAAATTGACATGCCTCCTTTAATCGCAAAAATACGCCATGATGCTTTTGTCAAAATGAAAAATCGTGGCGACGGCATTTGTTGAAAATTGTCTCAGTCGGCTAAAACATATCAAAATTTGGAAGAAAATTGATCAACATTTACAGAGATACACTGCAAACAGTATGCCTAGGGTGTGATTGTTACGTCACAATGATGGAGTTCGGTCATAGTGCGCATTTTGTTATATGCGTAATATACATTGTCATGGTCACCAGCAGCTGGTGCGCGATGAAATGTACAACTGGCTCGATTATTGCTCACTACTTTCCCACGCATTTTGCCGTTGACTTTTCAGATCGAGCAATAATATTTATAATGTATTTCGTATAGGCGTGTTTTTGCCCATATGCTATATATTAAAAGAGCTCGCACGCAATAATGCAAGGCCGTCCAGAGGATTTTTTTATGTTGGAAACCGGGGTAAAATGCAATAAATTATTGAAAATTTATTGCATTTTCTGTTGTTTTTTTTAATTCATGGAAACTGCCCTCTACCCTAGCCCCCGCTGCGTACAGTCATGGTTCAGTGACAAAGCAATGGCCTCGTAACTGTGAGGCCCCAGGATCAAAACCGTGTCGATGTGCTATAAGGGCCCTTTTGTGGGGCATTAATCCTCATTACTGTCATTTATGACTTAAGGGCATAGGTCCCCTAGTTGATAAGCATAGTAGCATATACATGATTTAGCAGTCACGCAAAACACACATTGGCAAATCATTGTTCAATAAAATCTGAGAATTATACTATTATTTATCTAGATCTAGTATTTTTAAATTATTTTTAAAATAATTCCATAAATTCCGGATAAAAAAAAAATAGAATCCACCTTTATGAGCGACAGTGTAGGAGGCTGCCCCCAAAAAAGAAGTGGGCGGGGACGCTAAACATGTATATTCTTTTTACATGGCCTAAACGACAAGGTATCAGATATCCATTGTTTTGACATTCCTTTTCCCTTAGATATAAACACGCAAAATCATGCATTTCGTGAGAAATTATATGCGCGAGAAATATACTGGGCGAATTGTCTGTAGGGCGAATTTAATCTGACCAAGATTTTGGCCGATTCGAATTGCATGCACACTCGTACTCATGGTCATATGAGTATCCGAGTACTGCTGTTTTGTGCTGTTGTGCTGATTGCTAGCTTAGCTTTGGTAAGAAATCGGTTGTTGCTATTGTATTACTTTATCGTGAATCCTTTCTTATTAGTTTGTTGGAGATTTTGCGTTATCGCATAAGTGTGTGAGTGTATTAAACTTTTAAAGGCATTGACTTTGTTTATATCTATAATAATGTTTGCAGTTACAAATCAAGTCTGAGATGCGATACATCTTACGTATACATGTATAGCCTAGGGTCTACGTGTAATATCATCAGCTCAGCGAGTGTGATTGTGATTGAATTTTGAAGCCCTACGAAAAACAAAAAGGAAGTGTTTCAAAAAAGTGAAAATCTTTGACTCAGTTTGACTTTGAGTGACCGGTTTTACCATACTCATTTCCCCCAATAGACCGTAGACCTAGTCTAGATCTAGTTCTAGATCTAGGTCAGTGTTGTTATAAATTAAAAACCGTAAGTCCGTAGGGATCTAGGCCTAGTACTATACTACTACTAGATCTAGATACTAGATCTATCTGACTATAGGCCTAGATTAGGGAGGCCAATGCCCGGGCGTAAGGCTTCTACGCCTACGATTTGTGCGCTCGTCGTCCAACTCCAAGTCAGAAAATTACCAGAAGAAAAAAAAAGGGGAAAAAAAAGAAAACAAATATCTAGGGTCTATGGAATAAAATGTATAACAAATACACAATTAAACACTCCACAACATACCTATAATCACGGATCTGTAACGATCTTTCACCATTTATTGACGATCTTGCAGATTTTGACGTATTTTGATCCAATAATTGGGCTAGCAGACGAAAAAAACGGACGCACAAGAGAAACTAGAGGGTGATGAGGTTAGCTCACTAAAATCCTTCTCAATGACTGAAGGTAGATCCTAAAAATATGGAACCAATTTAATATCAAAGAACTTTTGAAAGAGATTAACATATCAGATGTGCACAAATGTCACTTTTAACAACTAGAAAATATAACGAAAAAAGATTATATCTTTTTAATTGCAGATTTTTACAAACTGCACATTCGAAGGTAGATAGAGTACGATGTTTTTGTCAATCTTGCGTTGGTTTGAGCCCCATACTAGCTAGAGCCATCTCAAATTGAGAAGGAAAATTGTGAACAGAGACCTCATTGTTTGAGCCCCAAATAGAAGTCTTGCGACATCATAATATGAATATTTATGAGCTCCGGTCTCATCGCGCGCAAAACAAATTTGACGTAGTCTCACACATTCTAGTACCTTTTTCTCAGCACTAGACACCAGTGTCGTGCAGTAATGTATGAGAAGTGTAAAAAAAGACATTTCAGTAAAAAAAAAAAAAGTCTACGTGAGCAGTCTATACTCCAATTGAGAAGTGTAATGAATGCCATGATTTGAGCGTGTGTGTTTTAGTGTATGATATCATCATATGGTTAGTGAGAGAGAGAGAGAGAGAGAGGGAGAGAAATATCTCCGTAAGTAGTACACGTCTATCAATGCGTGCAGTCATATTTGATTCCGTATTGTGATCGCTGCATGCAAGTGCAAGTTGGATTTATCGATCGATGATAATGCAGTGTCAGATCTTTACTGATGTCTGAGGAAATAGTAATTGGAATACATCACAAAACTAAGGTAGGCCTATTTATTTATTTAATTTTTAATTACTTTCTTAATTTACAATGAGTGGCTTTCGAGCTTTCTCTCCATTATGTTTTGACCCTCCATGCCATGGCTAGCATGGTCGATCGCGGCTTGCATGCAATTACCGTACCTGGCCTGCAGTACTGTGTCGGTGTGTGCGACTAATTCAAGGCTAGCCGGTGATGATGAATGTACTTTCGCGCGAAGTTTTGAACTTGTTGTCCGGGCAATGACCATGATGACACGCCCATTCCCTCGGGCCTGTCTAATTCTCAACGTAATTGAAATTGATTGTTTCAAGGCTCTTACGTACGGCCAGGCGTAGAAGGAACCTCATAGGAACTAGCTGGATATCTCCTATTTTATGGAACTTCTGGAGTCGGCAGATGGGTGAGTTTTCTTAGTGAAAGAAAATGCTTTCTTTTAATGTTTGTTTTATTATAAACAAATTAGTAATTAAAAAGTTAGATTTGGGCATTGGCCTCCCTACCTAGATCATAGATCTAGACTAGACCTAGATCTAGTCTAGATCTATTAATTTCTAATTCCAATCATAAATATCTTGATAGTTGATAATTAGACAGGTCACAGCTGACAGGCGATCGGCTTGTAAAAGTCATGGGATAATAATTATCGCCTCGCCAAAGAAGGAGGGGATCTAGACCCCTGTATTAATATGCTGCTCGATGCCCTTCCTTCTTTGTGCCGTAACAAATCTGGTTTAAAATAAATAACTTTAGTAATGTTTGACGGATTTTAATGAAATTTGATATGAAGGTAAATGGTAGATCTATAAAAACACAGCATAAGGTCAATTTCGGAGTTTGTAGGTCAAAGGTCATGGCTCATTAAATATGCGAATCTGGTTTCTATTCGATAACTTTAGTAATGTTTGACGGATTTTAATGAAATTTGATAGGAAGGTACATGGTTTAAAAACATAGCATAAGTTCAATTTTGGAGTATGTAGGTCAAAGGTCATAGCTCATTAAATATGCGAATCTGGTTTCTGTTTGATAACTTTAGTATTATTTGATGGATTTTCATGAAATTCGATATGAAGGTACATAGTATAAAAACACAGCATAAGTTCAATTTCCGAGTATGTAGGTCAAAGGTCATAGCTCATTAAATATGCGAATCTGGTTTAAAATCAATAACTTTAGTAATGTTTGACCAATTTTAATGAAATTTGATATGAAGGTAAATGGTATAAAAACACAGCATAAATTCAATTTCGGAGTATGTAGGTCAAAGGTCATGGCTCATTAAATATGCGAATCTGGTTTCCGATCGATAACTTTAGTAATGTTTGACAGATTTTAATCAAATTTGATATGAAGGTACATGCTATCAAAATACAGCATAAGTTCAGTTTCGGAGTATGTAGGTCAAAGGTCATAGCTCATTAAATGTGCAAATCTGGTTTCTATTCGATAACTTTAGTAATGTTTGACGGATTTTAATGAAATTTGATAGGAAGGTACATGGTATAAAAGGCAAGTTCAGACTAGTCTCGGAAAAATGCGCAGTGCTCGTCGTTAGCTGTAATGCGTATCAGAACAAACCCAAACAAAGACGTGATCGTAACGAGAAAAAAATCATTAAAAACTACGAGAGCACAATTGGAAAGACAACTACTCAAAATTATCGTAAGCAGATACATAACTTGGAGGAAGAATACAATAGTTGTCCAAGAAAAGCCACATAAATAGTGATATTTAAGGAGTTACTACAGGTACAATCATTATCCGAATGGGCCTGCTGATATGTCAGAATTACACGTGTTTAAATTGAACACGAGGCTATAGAAACCAAATACCGCCCTCTACGGTGAAAAGCAGTATAACAAAGGATTCTAGTATTTGCAGCAGGCGATAAAAATGTACCCAGTTACTCCTCGATTATCACAATTTCTGTGGCATTTCTTGGGCGATTATTGAATTCTTTGTCCAAGTTATGTACCCGATTATGGTAATTTTGAGCAGTAGTTGTCTTTCCAATTGCGCTCTCGTAGTTTTTAATGATTTTTTTCTCGTTACGATCACGTCTTTGTTTGGGTTCGTTCTGGCACGCATTACAGCTAACGACGAGCACTGCGCATTTTTCCGAGACTAGTCTGAACTTGCCTTGCAACAGCTATCCGTATCGAAACTTCGTGATTACCAAGTAATTTTCAGCTTTTAAAAAAAAGCATGCGATGTTTAAAATAAGAGATAAATATTTATTTTGTCTTTAAAAAATTATATGATCGGTATATTGTAAAGAAGAATTTTTTAGAAAGCTGTTTTATTATTCTAACATTCATATTTTTTGACCAGATTTATTCAACCTGCATAAATCAAAATGGCGGCTGGAACGTTGTCATTCTATTTTTGCCCCAGTTTTTTTACTTTTAGAGGCACGATAATGGCACTAAACATCGCCAATCATGGATGAAAATAATGTCAAATGGAAGAATATACCGATCTGAGCCGAGGTATGCATTAGTTAATTGATTTGATTGATAAAAAAGGTCACTTTTAAGGGACATACTGATGATAATAATCATGATATGCGCTTTTTATAGAGGCAAGTGACAAATCCTGCGAGCTGATTTCGGGACACCGGGTCCCGATAGGTGCAAGGCCGTCGGGACCCGGTTTATGAAAATCCCGACATGACTCAGGCCTAATCAAAACACGGCCTAAGTTTGATTTCCCAGTATATAGGTCAAAGGTCATAGCTCATTAAATATGCGAATCTGGTTTCTGAAATTGATAACTTTAGTAATGTTTGACGGATTTTAATCAAATTTGATATGAAAGTACATGGCATCAAAACATGGCCTAAGTTTGATTTCCCAGTATGTACCCTGCGAGGGGATGCTATGCTTTGCGTTGACTTGTTTTATTTATGTCATTTAGCATTATGAATGAGGGCTCATTATTTGTATTTATTGTAATATATTCATATTGGTATTTTATTAAATGTAATTTTTTTGTTTTTTTTGTTTGTATTTTAGGTTACTGAGAGTTCAAGAGTTGCAGAAAGTAAGTTGATATGCTTAGAAAGGCTGAAGTCAAGTAGTTTTTAAATTAAAGCTATGACGGAATGAAACAGATCCGCATAATTGGGAACAATTGAATGCAGAATACGAAAGCTATGGCTTTTAGAAATTGTCTATATAACTTTTTGGACACTACCAAGTTACTTTTAATTATGTCAGTAAAGGTATAGACCAGTTTTGGAAACGCCCCCCTCTCAAAAAATGAAATGGTACCTTTTATTACCAATCATGTGAAAGAATATGTTTTGACTAATACCTGATGATACAAATTTTGATACTAATTGATATATTTGGTAAATTATATCTATCCGGAGTGGATAGATATCGCGCATGTGTCGCATAGTCCCATATACATCTTTCTGTGTACAGTGCTTGTAACTTTACCATGACTGGGTCAAATTTCTCATCATTTTGATGATCCACAACCTTTCAGTACACACCAATACTTACCGTATATGCTAGATGATCAACCTTTTGTGATCGATTCCACAACGTTTCCGAAAAAGTTTGTTTAAACACCTAGTGCAAATGATAGATGTATTTTGATTTTAGTCCAATGCAATACATATAGTACAGGTGACCTTGCCTAAGTCGAACTTGGATAAGTCAAAAATTGCTATGGTTGAACGTCTACACGTAGCCCATCCTGTTTTGTCCCATTATTTTATAACCCTCCTAAATCAAAATTTGTCTAAGTCAAAGCTATTTTATGGGTCCCAAAAGATTTGAGTTAGGCCATTAATTTTTGTTTACATGTTTAGCGTCCCAATGCAATCGCATGACCAAAACTGGTCTTTACCTTTAAAGGTACTATGTCCCATTTGCAGGCCAACAAAATGAGAAGGCTACATTCGAACGGCATTTGAAAGATAATACTAATTTAGAAGTTCCCTAAAAAAAAAGGGGGGGGGGGCTTGAAAATGTCTTTAAGTTGGAAAATAACGACTATTAGTTGTCGAATCGACTTAAGAACTATAGAGCCAGTAAGTAATGGTCTTATTTTCAGACCATTGTACCGAATGGTCGTACATTTTATGCTGCGCAAAGATTCAATCAGTTTAATTTTGGCCATTACAAGCAGAAGTGGGATATTGATGTTGACAAATGTTCATATACCCTTTACAGCTCATTTTATGTACATGTATGTTATTACCAAAGAAGAAAAAAGCCAGTGAGTCACTCAATAGTGTCTGACAGGGAAGCTAGTATAGCAAGTAAACGGGTTTCTTTGCATAATATGAATATTAGGACACTGCTAATGTTTAAATTTGACAGATAGGACATACATGACATATTCATAATTTCTGCAAAGTTCTACATAATTTGATGTTGGCTGCAAAAGGGACCGACATAGTATCTTTAAGCATTGGATGAGGGCTCACTATTTGTATTTATTTGTGTAATATATTCATATTGGTATTTCATGAAATGCAATTGTTTTTTTCTTTTCTTTTTTTCTTTCAGGTTATTGACTGTTTTCAGAGTTGCAGAGAGTTGCAGAGAGTTGCAGAGAGTAAGTTGATCTGCTTAAGAAGGCTGAAGTCAAGTAGTTTTTAAATTAAAGCTACAATGGAATGAAACAGATCTGCATAATTGGGAACATAATTGAACGCGGAATAGGAAAGCTATGGCTTAATGAAATTTCTATATAACATTTTTGACACTTCCGTAGGTATGCAACATAATTTTGTGGACAATTCATAATACTCTTCCATTGGGTGTAGCCAAAATTTGAAGAGAATCCATAGTGAATTATGTAAGGAGTTGATAAAGAAGAAAAAGTTTTTTTCATTGAACACCTAGTGCAAACGTATAGATGTATTTTGATTTTAGTCCAATGCAAAACATATAGTACAGGTGACCTTGCCTAAGTCGAACTGGGATAAGTCAAAAATTGCTATGGTTGAATGTCTACACGTAGCCCATCCTGTTTTGTCCCATTATTTTATAACCCTCCTAAATCAAAATTTGTCTAAGTCAAAGCTATTTTATGGGTCCCAAAAGATTTGAGTTAGGCCATTAATTTTTGTTTACATGTTTAGCGTCCCAATGCAATCGCATGACCAAAACTGGTCTTTACCTTTAAAGGTACTATGTCCCATTTGCAGGCCAACAAAATGAGGAGGTTACATTCCAACGGCATTTGAAAGATAATACTAATTTAGAACTTCCCTAAAAAAAAGGGGGGGGGGCTTGAAAATGTCTTTAAGTTGGAAAATAACAACTATTAGTTGTCGAATCGACTTAAGAACTATAGAGCCAGTAAGTAATGGTCTTATTTTCAGACCATTGTACCGAATGGTCGTACATTTTATGCTGCGCAAAGATTCAATCAGTTTAATTTTGGCCATTACAAGCAGAAGTGGGATATTGATGTTGACAAATGTTCATATACCCTTTACAGCTCATTTTATGTACATGTATGTTATTACCAAAGAAGAAAAAAGCCAGTGAGTCACTCAATAGTGTCTGACAGTGAAGCTAGTCTAGCAAGTAAACGGGTTTCTTTGCATAATATGAATATTAGGACACTGCTAATGTTTAAATTTGACAGATAGGACATACATGACATATTCATAATTTCTGCAAAGTTCTTCAGAATTTGATGTTGGCTGCAAAAGGGACATAGTATCTTTAAGCATTGGATGAGGGCTCACTATTTGTATTTGCGTTGCCAATTTGAGGATCCCCATAGAAAGTACAACAAGTGTTTTCAAACTTTCATAACTCTCTTATTTTATAGCCGATTTTGATGAAACTTTTTTGAAATTGCTTCTCTCATATTACTCTTTCGTATGAGATGATTTTCTCCTTGGGTTTTGGTTTCCTTTTAGTTTTTGTGAGCAGATTTTTTACATTTAGGGTGTTTTATCACTATGACTATATGACTATGACTTTATTTTGGTCTCGGGATGCTCCACTGAGACTATCTTCTGGTTCCGCAAATCCCGGCTTGCCTTAATAGACCGCTGGCACCCGCGCCCGCACTAGTGGTGACGATAAATTGTGCACTGCATTTAATAGATGCACACAACACAGCGCTGTTGCAAAAGCGATAGTGGCTGGTCTTCTTACTTACGAAAATGCCAGATTACAAGTACTTAACATCTAAGCACACTTTCCAGCATCGCTCTAATTAAAGTAAGTATATTCTAGATTCTAATCTATAATCCATATTAATTCATAAACTTCATAATATGGTACAAACGAGCCCTTATCAGGGCTTTTCAATCATGTAAAAAGTGAATGGGGCTGGATCTGGCACATATCTATGTTGACTTAAAGGGGAAGTCTATTTTGAAGCAATAGTGATTTAATAATTAAGTCATTCTCATTTCAATAGATACGAGCTCCTTGATGATTTCTCAAGAATTGCCCAGACGTGTCTATTGAATTTAATTAATTTTTTTTCTATTCCTTTCTGTCTTTTGCAGGACCGAGGGTGGTACACTCCAAAGAACTCTCCAAAGAACTCTCCAAAGAACTCTCCAAAGAACTCTCCAAAGAACTCTCCAAAGAACTCTCCAAAGAACTCTCCAAAGAACTCTCCAAAGAACTCTCCAAAGAACTCTCCAAAGAACTCTCCAAAGAACTTGAACTTGCACTTGAACTTACACTTGAACTTGCACTTGAACTTGCACTTGAACTTACACTTGAACTTGCACTTGAACTATCTTGAACTATCTTGAACTATCTTGAACTATCTTGAACTATCTTGAACTATTTTGAACTATCTTGAACTATTTTGAACTAAAGAACTTCCAAAGAACTTGCACTTGAACTTGTATTTGAACTAGCACTTGAACTTGAACTATCTTGAACCTTGAATCTGAAACATACATACTGAATGAAACTTGAATCTGGAAATCTTGAATCGAATCAAAACTGGAACAGAATATTTCTAAAGATTGTATTGCCATTTTTAGAAGACATAATTATTGTCAATTATAAAGAAATTATTGGTAGTTTCTAGAAGGAATTAAAAGTAAACTGAAATAAAAAGAAGAACAATAGAGGGAAAGGAATCTAACTCTAATTCCTGGAACTTGATAAGACCATACTTACAGTTGAAAGCAGTAATATTGTAAATCTTGGGAAAGAAAAAAAAGAGGTATACATTTTAAAGAGTAAAGTAGATTGGAAAAGTAGTCGTTCAAGATAAATATTGGAAGTTTGAAGGACTGTATTGCCATTTTAGAAGACATAATTATTGTCAATTACAAAGAAATTATTAGCAGTTTCTAGAAGGAATTAAAAGTAAACTGCAATAATAAAAGAAGAATAATAGAGGAACAGGAATCTAATTCTAATTCCTGGAACTTGATAAGACCATAATTACAGTTGAAAGCAGTAATATTGTAAATCTTGGGAAAGAAAAAAAGAGGTATACATTTTAAAGAGTAAAGTAGATTGGAAAGTAGTCGTTGAAGATAATATTGGAAGTTTTAAGGACTGTATTTTAGAAGACAAAATTGCTGTCAATTAGAAAAAAAATCTGGGCAGTTTCTAGAAGGAATTAAAAGCAAAGTGAAATAAAAAGAAGAACAATAGAGAAAAAGCAATCTAATTCTAATTCCTAGAACTTGATAAGACCTCTATTAGAATTCAAAACAGTAGTATTAGTAATCTTGGGAAAGTAAAAAGAGCGTATACACAGCAAAGAATAAAGAAGATTGAACAAAATAGTGTGAAGAAGGCAATATTGCAAGTTTGAAAGACTGTATTGCCATTTTAGAAGACATAATTACTGTAAATTAGAAAGAAATATTTGGCAGTTTCTAAAAGGAATTAAAAACAAACTGAAATAAAAAGAAGAACAATAGCAAGAAAGCAATTTAATTCTAATTCCTAGAACTTGATAAGACCATAATCACACAAAATTTGTGTCAATATATAGAGTCCTAGAAAAGTGAGCGTTGTTGATTGTAAAGAGAAAAGGAAAGAAATCCTTCGATATATAGTGTTCAGAATTTTAAAAATAAAAGTAAGCTTGATTGTAGAGAGAGTAAGAAAGAAGATTGGGTCAGGATAAATATATAGTTTTAGAAATATAAGTGAGGTTGATTGATTTGAGAAAGAATAAGAAAGATATTTTGATCAGGATATAAAGTGAACCTGTTTGCAGAGAGAGAGTAACAAAGAAATTAGCAATTTGGGAACTTATATAGGCCTACAATACATTTAGGCTATTAATGACCTACTCATAATTTTAATAAAAAACGCCATCTTGAGACAAAAACATTATAGCTCCTTAACACAGTACAAGCTAGTGTATATAAAGCTAGGCTATTGAAATACCATAGAGTTTAATATCAGTAAGGATTAGTTTTTCATAATTCACAATAGGAATATTTAAATAAAAGACTATTGGAGTAAGGAATATATACAGAACATTATATATCAAAGTTACAGAACCGTTAATTGTAGACTTGTAATTATTAACCAGAACTGTTGCAAGTATATAAGCAAAATTTACCATGATGGATACAATTGAATTTAAGAAAACACTTGATGAAATCATGAATATACTGACTAGTTGTGCATTGGTGACCAACCCAGATCTTAATGAATGCTGTATCTGTAACAATGAAATCAAAGAAAATGAAAGTGATGCAAGATGTGACTGTTGTAGTAAGCATTTTCATGTGACATGTATGGGATTCCCTTGTGAAGACAGACTGAGTGACCTGACATTGATCTGGATTTGTTCATTTTGTGGCAATAACAACATGGCTCATCGCATGTTTGATCAAGTATGCATCCCTTCTCATTTCAATAGATACGAACTTCTTGGTGATCATGATGAACACTGTTACTTGGATTTGAACCAATCAAGGACCCTATCAAGTACGACCAACAAAAGAAAATGTGGCAGATCAAAGAAGAGGTATGGTAAAAAGGGAAAGAAAACCAATCGATTGAGAGGAACACAACATCATATAACTGACAGGCAAACAAATGAGTCTGATAGACATAATCCTTTGGCTATGGAAAATCCATCCCAAATAGAACACGAAGAGATGCAAAATGAAAAATTTGAGGATGACTGGGTAATTGTGAAATCAAGGAAGACGAAATGGGTGGAGAAACTAAAATCAAGAAAATTGTATCCCAAATCAATAGATGATCATCAAACAGACAGGAAAATCAGAAGAAAATCAGTGAATGGCAAAGTCTTAGAACCTGGTGTAACTTACATCGGCAAAGCAATGAAGACATTCTATGAAAGCCATAGCAGGAAAAAAAAGGAAGACCGAAAGAAAGTTGATTGTAAAGAAAAGAAGGTGAAATCCGAGAAAAAAGATATCAGTGTTCAATCTTACACAGAAACTCTTTTAGGTTTATATGCCTACAGTGTGCAGTCCCCACATGCAATGAAGTTGTATAATGACATGTGTGTGCAAAGTGAAACGGCACAAACACGATCCTGGGCAGACATAGCAAGCAATTTGCCAACTCAATCTAGAACAGATACATGTGTTGATATCGATGTATGTACTTGTAATCTTTTTGAACAGATCAAGGATTTGCGAAAGTACAGAGTTCATGCTGGTGGCAAGAAAAAAGAAGCAAAGAACAAGAAAGGTCGAGCAAGGAACAAGAAAGGTCAGTCTTCCAAAGGGAAAAAAGGTACTGATGGAAATCACTCTTCTGATAAATCGGAGATTAGATTTGACAAAGATGAAGGAATAGAATTAGCAGTAAAGAATGAGAAGCAAGATACAAAGATATCGATGAATGCAGGTGACCAAGGACTTGATACAAATACATGTAA